AAATGTGAGCTCATGAAGATTTACCGCTATATTTTCTTCAAGGAGTTTTATGGTCTTAGCTTTTATATTTAGGACGTTGATCCATTTTTCATCATTTTTTTTCTTTTTTGGTATATAATGAGAAAGCAGTCCCAGTTTTCTGGTTTGTGTGTGGATATCTAGTTGTCCCAGTATTAAGGGAAGTGATGATTATTTTGCCTATCGAATGTTCCTGCCAACCTTTTAAAAAAATCAATTGTCCATAGAAATGTAGGTTTATATCTGAACTCACAATTTTATTTCATTGGTTCATATGTCTATCCTTATGCCAGTACCACTCTATGTTGATCACTGTAGCTTTGTATTAAGTTCTGAAATTGGGAAAAATGAGTCATCCAACTTCATTCTTTTTTTTTTTTTTTGATATTATTTTGGCTAATTGATCTCTCTTGAAATCTCATGTGAATTTGAGGATTGAATTTTCCATTTTTGCAAAAAAGACAGTGGGAATTTTGATGAATATTGAATTCATTGATCACTTTGGGTAGTATTGACCTCTTAACAGTACTAAACTTTCAATCATGAAAATGGGATATAGTCCAATTTATATCGTTTTTTTATTTCATGATGTCTTATTGTTTTCAGTGCATGAAGCTTTCAAATTCATACTTAAATTTTCATAGTAGTTATAAATTTAGATGCTGTGATACATGGAATTTTCATCTTGATTTCTTTTTTCGATTTATCATTGCTGGTATATAGAAACCACACATTTCTCTGAGTTAATCTTTGATTCTGTAACTTTGCTGAACTTGTTTATTAATCCTAGTCATAATTGTGTGGATTCTTTGGGATTTTCTATACGTAAAATCACGTCATTTGCAAATAGAGATAGTTTTACCTTTTCTTTTATGATGTTGGATAGCAGTGATGAAAGCAGGCTTCCTTATCTTGATTCTGATTTCAGAGGAAAGTCCTTCTATTTTTTACCATGGAGTATATTATTATGTGAGATTTTACAAATTCTCTTTATTATGTCAAGGAATTACTCCTCCATTCTTAGTTGTTAAAGTGTTTTACCATGGAAAGTTTGGGATTTTATCAAATGTTTTTTGTTTTGTTTTTGTTCTTTTGCATTGAAAACATGATCATGTGTTCTATTTGTTTTCTATGAATGTGGTTTATTACGTTGGTGATTATCTTGTGTTGAACCACACTTGCATTTCTTAAACAACTCCTGTTTGATACGTTTGTAAGGTTGTTTTAATATTCTTTTGGGTTCAGTTTGGTAGTATTGTGTTTCAGAATTTCTTGATTATATTCATAAGTGATATTGGTCCACATTTTTCTCTTTTTGTGTTGAATTAGTCTGTTTTTGTTATTAGGGTAATACTGATTGACCTTTTGGAAAGCATTGAAAGTATTCCTTTCTCTCCTACTTTTTAAAGAGTCTGAGAAGGATTTAAGTGTTAATTCTTTAAATGTTAGGTAGAATTTACCATTGAGGCCATCTGGTACTACAGTTTTCTTTGGGAGAAGAATTTTGTATTACTGTTATAAGTCTCTTAAGATTGTCCTGTTTGTTTTTCTTTTTCATTTTTTTTTATTCAGTTTTAGCAATTGTATGTTTCTAGAAATTTTTCTATTCTAGGCTATGTAATTTTAAGGGGTAAAATTATTGATAGAATTATTGTTCTTATTTCTATAGTTTTATTTATATGTGATTTTGGTTATTTGTGCCTTATCTATTTTTTTTTCATAGTCGATCTACCTAAAACTTATCAATTCTGTTATCTTTTAAAAAAACCAACCTCTGGTTTGGTTGAGTCTATTGTATTTCTACATTCTGTATTGTTTATCAATACTTTAATTATGTTGTTATTTCCTTTCAGCTGCTGTTTATTTTTCTCTTCTTTTTCTAATTCATTAATGTGTAAAGTTAGATTACTGAATTGAGATTCATCTTCTTTTTTTTTAAGTGAAAGTATTTACAATTATAGATTTACCAATGAGCACTACTTTCATTATTTCATATTTTGGGTGTGTAATATTCTTGTTTTCATTCATCTCTAGGTATTTGTAAACTTCGCTTGGTATTTGACCTATTGGTTATACTTAATTTTTTAAATTGGTTGTTTTATTCATACATATTTATGAATTTGTGTATTCTTTGTGTTATTGATTTCTAGCTTGATTCCATGATGATTTGAGAAGATAGTTTGCATTATTTCAAACATTTTAACTTAGAGAGACTCGGTGGTGGTCTAACGCATGGTTTATCCTGGAGAAATCCCCGTTTGCTCTCGAGAAGAGTGCTGTTCTTGGTTGGAGTGCTCTATGTATATCTACGCTGTCTCCTTGATTTCATAGCGTTGTTCGAGGCCTCAATTTCCGTACTGATCATCTGTCTTGACGTTCTGTTCATTATTGAAAGCGAAGTAGTGGGTCACTAACCGTTGTATGGCTCTTCCTCGAATTCTGTCGATGTTCGTTTCATATAGTTTAGAGCTCTTTTGCTTGGTGCATTTATGTTTATAATTGCAGTTTCTTGAAGACTTAAAACTTTTAGTACTATAAAATATTCTGCTTTGTCTCATAACAGTTTCTGATTGAAAGTCTATTCTTTCTGATACTAATATTGCCAACTCAGTTCTCTTTTATTACTATTTGCATGGAATATCTTTTTCCATCTTTTCATTTTTAACTCATTTGCATGTTTGGACATAAATTGAGTCTCTTATAGGCAACATAATTTGATCAGGTTTATTTTATAAAATCCATTTAATTATCCTCTGCCTTTTGAAAGCAGAGTTTAATCCATTTACACTTAAAGCAATCACTAATAAGAAATGACTCATTTTTGACATTTACCATTTGTCTTTATATGTGTAAAACCCTTTTGTTCCTCGTTTCTTTCACTACTGCCTTCTCTTACATTTAATTAATTTTTGTATTGTATCATTTTGATTTTCCTCTCATTTCCATTTGTGTATATTTTTCAGTTATTTTATTAACGTAACTATAGAGATTACAATTAACATCCCAAAATTCTAACTATGGAGTTTGAATTGATACCAACTTAGCTTTAATAGCATGTAAAATTTCTGCTTTTATACAGTTCTAAAACTTCCCTCGAGGTAACACTGTCATAAGCCATATCTTTTACACTGTTATGCTAACAGATTTATAATTATTATTTTAGGCATTTATATTTTAAATCATGTAAAAAAAAGAGTTAAAACTAAAAAATGGAATAATAGTAACTGTGATATATACGTACTTACCTTTACTGGAATTCTTTCTTTCTTTGTATGATTAGGTCACTGTGCAGTTTCTTTTCATTTGAGCCTGAAGGCCTCTCATTAGCTTATCTCATAGGGCAGATCTACAAAAAACAAACTCTCTTATCTTTTGCTTACTTGTAAATGTCTTAATTTGTACCCTGTGAAGGGAGATCTTGCTGAATAGAGAAAACTTTGCTGACAAGTTGTTCGTTGTTTTGTTTTCTGGCCCCCTCCGCCCCAGCACTTTAAAAATCATCCCACTCTTTCTGTTCTCCCTGGTTTCCGCTGAGAAATCTGCTTTTAGTTTCACTGAGATCCCTTTGTATATAACATGTTTCTTGCCTTTTGCTGCTTTCAAGAGTCAATCTTTTTCTTTGACTTTCAATAATTTAACTGTAATGTGTCTCTGTGAATCTCTTTGATTTTATCCTTTTTGGAGTTAGCTCAATTTCTCAAATGTATAAATCCATTTCTGTTCATAAATCTTGAGACGTTTCGTCATTGTTTCTTTAAATATTTTTCCCCCTTCTGGGATTTTCATCGTGCAGGTGCTATAATGCTTGATGATGCCCCATCTATATTCTTTGTCACGTGGGTTCCCTGAAGCCTTTGTCTCTGTAGGTCGTGTTCAATGAGCGTTTGGACAGAGATTTCCTTGAATGCTCAGAGAAAGAGAGAGAAATGAGAGATAAGAGAAGGAAGGCAGGGCAAGGAACAGAAACAGAGAAGGGAAGGGAAGGGAAGGGGAGGAAAGAAGAAAGGAAGAGAAGAAAAAGCGTGAGGAGAAAAGTGCTCCCAGCCTTTGCAGATGGCACGGCGTGTCCTGGGGCTCGCCTCCAATGCCCCGCCTCCGATGCCCCGCCTCCGATGCCCCGCCCCGATGCCCCGCCTCCAATGCCCCGCCTCCAATGCCCCGCCCACCGACTGCTTACAACCTGCCTCAGCGTTTCCTTCTCGCGTGCACCGAACCTAGAAACCAGCCAGACATGAGAGATGAAGGACTCCTCATGACCTTTCTGAGAATGACTCCTACCTGGGCACGTGCATGACTTTCTAAATTTCCTGTTATACGTGGTACTTTTGAAGATGTCACTTTTCCAAAGGAAGTCTATCGACAGCTTTTCCTTCCAGGCTTTTAGTGTTTTATTTTTGGCCTCAATTGTTACATTTTGTCCCTTAAAATATTTGGAGGATCCGCCACCCTTTTCTGCCTTGAGTTATAAGTTAGTCCAAATAAGGACAAGCCCTTCGTGTGTGTCTTCAGGTGACCTTCCAGCAGAGTAAGACAAAATAACCTGTTTGATGCATTCTATGATTATGGACTATCTCAGTTTACTCTAAGCTGACGTTATTAGGTACCATTGTTGACTTATTCTACAATAACTTTGAGTAATTTTCTATTCACAATCATTATACTTGCAAGCTGAATGTGGCACTAATCATTGTACAAACCCGGAGTCGTCAGAATACTTAAATAATGGGCTTTTAATTAAATGGTCAGTAAATGTTCCCATCAGTTAAGATCAAGTCCTTTAAATCTGAAATGCATACAATAGTGATATATAACAGTAGCCTTTCAAAATCTCACCATTTCACTCATATTAGAATTCGAAATAATGGCAGCCTCACCCAGCCATGCCTGCTCTGCCTTCGCAATCCCCGCAGCCAGTGCCGAGACCTCGTTGCCTCTTATGCCTCCTTCCCCTCAGCTCAGTGACCTCCCTCTGTCCCTTGCAGATGTCCTCATGATGCTCTCCTTCAAGTCTGTGTTCAAGGTCACCTCCATTGCCCCCTCATGTACACGTCAGCCCCTCCCCCCTGGCGCCCTCTCCTCCAGTCACCACACATTTACTTTTCTTTCTTAATACTCACCATCCCCTCGTCGCCTCTTATGCCTCCTTCCCCTCAGCTCAGTGACCTCCCTCTGTCCCTTGCAGATGTCCTCATGATGCTCTCCTTCAAGTCTGTGTTCAAGGTCACCTCCATTGCCCCCTCATGTACACGTCAGCCCCTCCCCCCTGGCGCCCTCTCCTCCAGTCACCACACATTTACTTTTCTTTCTTAATACTCCCTCTCTTTTAATGGGGCACAAAACATGTGTGTTTATTATGTTCACCGTTTATTGTCTAACTCTCTTCATCGAAATGGGAACCGAAGGTCATGGACCTGTGTCTTTTTGGATGAAACTCAAGGGCCTAGAACAGTTTACTGTCAATAAATATTTGATGAATGGGGGAATACACTGTCCCCCTCCTCTCAATAAAGAATTGAGAAGAATTCTAATCCATATTTTATTGTTGTTACACTTCAGCCCCTGCCCCCCGGCGCCCTCTCCCCCTCAGTCACCACACATTTCCTTTTCTTTCTTAATACTCCCTCTCTTTTAATGAGGCACAAAACACGTGTGTTTATTATGTTCACTGTTTATTGTCTAACTCTCTTCACCGAAATGGGAACCGAAGGTCATGGACCTCTGTCTTTTCTGATGGAACTCAAGGGCCTAGAACAGAGGGAGCGCAGTTTACCGTCAATAAATATTTGACGAATGGAGGAATACACTATCCCCCTCCTCTCAATAAAGGAATCAGGAGAATTCTAATCCATATTTTATTGTTGAGGGCCTTTCAGTAATTAATTTTATATATGTTTTAATCTTAATAAAGATGAGTAGTTGCTTTTTTCTTATTAAAATAATATTTCTGTTTAACATCTCTTTGTGCACTACTTAGGTTTTACATTATCTTGATGCTTCAGCTAAATGAGTCAAGTGTTCGATTAGGCTCATTCTCAAGCATAATTGGTTATTTGTTGTCCTACAGAGAGAGTGCCAGTTTGGCCAACCCAAGTCTGTCTTCTGAAGTTGTCTGCCTGTGTACACAGAAGGGGCTCAATAAATAGCTTTCTCTCCCGCCTGAGTTAGGAATAAACTGAGAAATAAGGCAGAGATGTAAGGCTGAGGGGAGCCAACACACGTAAGGCACAAGCGAGCTACTGGTGAACAGTTTAGTCGACATCCACGGGCGTCTGAACTTCCTACTACAAAAGAGAGCTACTGGTGAACAGTTTAGTTGACATCCAAACAGTTTAGTTGACATCCACGGGCGTCTGAACTTCCTACTACAAAAGCCTGGCGTTAGACCGACATCCTTTCTGTCTGTCCCCCAGTAAACTCCACTGTGCCTTGGCGGCGGCAAAACCTGTCCTCGAGCTCAGGAGAAGGCGCACTGCCCGGAGGTGGAAGAGAGAGGAAGGACTGTGCTCCGAATGTCCCCTTCCCCCTCCAAACCCAGCAAGCAGATGATTTAGGTTCCTCTCCCGGAACAGTGTGTGAGAGGGGAGGGAGGAGAGAGGAGCGAGACCAGGGGTGTCGTGCTCATGGGGTCCCCTCCGCACATAAGGGAAACGCATCTCAGAACCATTTGTGCACTTTCCATGGGTCTGTATTCATTTGGGATTTTGCTATCTGAACTGACCTCTTGAGAATGATTTTAGATACTTTGGAGTTCTAGACCCAGACTAGTCTAAAAGAATTGTTTGTAGGTGTGACAACAGGTAATGCAATAGGCAAATAGAAAATGCTCCGAGTAAATGTAGTGTTAAGTTGTCCCCAGTGTGCCCAGGGAAAGAAAAGTGTTCCTGACACTACTTATGGGATAGGGAAGTTATTTCTGAGCTCGGACGATTGTAGTCAAATGCTGTACAGAACCCACCTTAATACTTGGGTAGCAAAACCCTAATCAAGATTAAACGAACCCAGCTCAATCCTAAAATATCCTCAATGACATATTTTGGAGAAAAGTAGCCACTGAGATATTTCGCATGAATAACAATATGAAAAATGTCTTTGTCAGGATCCTGAAAGTGTGACACTTGATAAAGACTGGCTCTTTGCAAGCGCCTCAATTCAAATTCCAAAGAGACTGAGCATGTACTGGATTTCCAAAGAAATGTGTCTGAAAATAGATTTTCCTCTGATGTTTCCTTTCTGCCATTTGTGTTATTTTCAGCCTGGGGCAACTTAACTAGCCAAATGTCATATTGAGATGAGGAGCCTCTGCAGTCGACCTGTCAGCACTAAGTTGTTATCTTGGACCATTTTAATGTTTGTCGTAAATCACAAAGGAGAGTTTCTATTTTGCAGCAAATAGAAATCACCAAGATCATGGGCTTCTAAAGTCTATTTGAGGGATTCTGCTGCCTGTAAGTGTTTGATTCATTTAAAACTCAGATTCTAAAACTTACCTAGAGAGGGAACTAATGTTATCTGCATCCATGCAGTGGCAGACAAGGAACTATTGTGAATTAAACCACAATGACACAGATTTCAGTGGTAGGAAACCGATATCACATTTCATGCGTTTCTACTGCTGCATGAAAAATAACCACCGATCTTCTTAATAGTGTCCTTAAAGAAAAACTTTTAATTTACTTGCGCATTAGTGATTGTCACCTTTCATTCAGTTGCTTAGCGGTCTGTGGATCAAGTTACTCCTTTACCCTCGCCAGACTTTTGCAGATAAGAAAAGTCAATTACTTAACCTCGAAAACTGTCAGCTACTGTCACCACCAGCAAGTCTACTTTGGGAAGTTTTACGTAATGGCCTGAATTTGGGGCGAAGGAACAGGCCAGGAGCTCTTTCTCTTGTAAGCGATTATTCCAGACGCTTGTTGGTGTCGTGGGAACGTCCCTGCCTCCCAGCTAACGTGGGCCGGATCTGTCCTGCGCCCGATGGACACACCTCATCCTTTCCTGTAGGCCACGGGAACTGGCCCTTCTGGGCCCACTCCCTGTAACCCGCATTGTCACCCAAAGCAGAGGGAAACAGGCTACAAGCCAGAAGGGAAGTGGCACATGCTCCTACCAAAAGACCTTTATTAACGCTGAGTTAGAGAAACGAGAAAGGCCTCGCTGTTTCCCGGGCGTCCCAGGCTCCAAATACAGGTGACATCGGGTTTATTTCTTTGTATTGTCTTTCCCAGTGTCCTCCTTAGGATGTTATGGCTCTTTCGTAGACTCCTGTGAACGCAATCTCCTAATTATTATTGATAATAGAACTCATCGCTTCTTTCCCTGCTTCTCCTGGCTGTCTCTGTCATTACTCGAATTGCAATACGATGTCAAAAAAAATGCCAATTCAGGTTCTTCCCGACTCAGATAGAACTCTCACATCCCAGAGGAAACTTGAGACCGAGAGGTTTTCTATTTCTCTGGACTTTAGTGAACTAGACCCAGAGAATCGAGTTCATTCCTCAGCCTCAGGTGTCTGAACAGTGCTGGGACCATGAGCACAACCTAATGGCCATCGTCACAGGCTGGGGTGCTCCCTAAGGTAGGGTCCCTTTCATTCCAAACACCTATCCGTTTTATTCTGTGAATCGAATTAGGCCTCCCTGCTAACCATACCTCTGCCCATTCATTAAATCGCACACCCGGGGATGAGATGTGCGTGTCTAACTCCGGAAGAAGCACCTAGCGTGTCGTGTTGAATGACAACGGAGCGCCGTCACACACTTGAAAGAAGTTGGGGCAGTGTGTTTTCCCAGAGGATGGGCGATCAGATAAGGCTGTCAGGCAGGCGGACCGCATTTCACAGCTGGGGCCTGAGAAGCCGATCCGGAGCAGGCCCGTGAGTGTGCAATATGGCCGAGGACACAGAACGCTAAGCTTGACTCGGTGGTCTCTGAGACACTTGCATTTGTTCAAAACTGATGACAGCTCAGGGCCCGGAGATGCCCGACGGCCGGGAGGCAGCCGTCTCCTTGGGCTCATCGGTGACAAACTTCACGGCACCTTAGGGAGTGGTTTCGCCCACCTTTTTTTTCTTTTTTTTCTTTTTTCCTGGAAATGCCAGTTATTTAACCCATCTGTGGGGTTATTGTTTTACTGAGATGTAAATGAAATACAACATTATACTAGTTCCGGGTGTATAGCACAATGATTTGGTGTGAAATGGTCACCACCAGCGGTCTAGTTATCACCCATCACCATGCAGAGTTACAGTTCTGTGTGCGTGCGTGTGTGCGTGTGTGTGCGTGCGTGTGTGTGCGTGCACGCATTGCGACGGACACCTTTAAGATATCCTCTGTTAGCAGCTTTAAAATATACAGCGCAGTGTTCCTGACCACAGTCCCGCTGCTGCCTGTCGTCACCTCCCTGGGGCTTCCCGACCCCGCGACGGGACGCCTGTGCCTTTTGATCCCATTCACCCATTTCAACAACTGTTCCACTCTCGATAATGAAACCCTTTCTCGTCGTCCATTAAGTTCTTCGCTCTATGCCAACCGTACGATATCCTTCAGTTTTGCATAAGTTTGGCGTCATGGAATTTTGTACATCGATAGGATTTTTTTTCTCAGTGTTAAGCCAAGTTCTCGCGTTAGCATCAGCTTTCGTACTGCTGTTCATTCAGCCTCTTGTTATCATTCCCCGAGATGTCTCCCATCGGTCTGACGGTCATGACCCACTGTACAGCGTTGATCGGTTGACACGGCAAATGGTCCCTAATCTCTGTGGCCATCTCCCATCTCCTCCTAAACATTTAAGCTGTGAGTATCATCTTCTGGTTCATCTGCAATAGTTTAAAGCAAGGCCACTTCAGTGCAGTATTTTCCCACGAAACAGGTCGACTCTTGCGTGAATACTCTTTATCTGGGCGACCAGTTATCTCTCTCCCTGGTCTTAGTTCTGATCCCAAACCTTGGAATCTAAACTAGAGTACGACAGAGAAGAAGAGAATCCAGATAAAACACAATGACTATGTTAGGACGA